TGTCCTCTAGCACAGTTTCACTTGGCTCACAGCTTAGCTTTCCTGACTCCTGGTGACCAAATAGTTGAAGCATATTCTGTATCCGGTCCAGAGCAGTTGAAATTCAGGTAGTTTTTAGATGCTGACTGAGTGGCTATGGCTTCTCTCCTAATGCAACCCTGTACAAGATGGGAGGTAGATTTGTCTCTACTGATTCTGTTATGCCTCTGATCACCAAAACAGCAAAGGTTGCCTGAGCATTTTGAACTGTTTGGAAGCTTCAGAAAAATCCAGTTGCCCAAATTACTGGCAGGTGCTGGAGACTATTCCTGGTTTAAGACTCCTGGCCCTGGCTTGATCTTCATGATTTAAGGTGGAAAGTCACAAGTAATGTCCAGCTGGAAAAATTGGGGACCCTGCAAGTGGTACAAGGGCCTGAACTTTGCCACCAGACCCTCTGCAAGGAGGCTGTAGCTACCCCATCAGAGCTCACTGCATACAGGCTTGGGCCAGCTGGAGGGGAGGGGGGGGGAAATCAATCACATAAGCCTGGAAGATACACAAGTCAACTCATGCTGCATTGTGCAAAACAGCTGTGGTGTTGGTATAACTCAGTGAGAGCACTGGGATTTTATTGCCCTCACTTTTAAGGGGAGAAAGGTGCTAATGCTTTCAGCAAAGAAAACAATACGTGTGCTATTTTAAAGCCTAACCTTGATGGCCTTAAGTCTCTAGGGCTATAGGCACAGCCTTTTTGATTTTGTAGCTGTAGTGCAGAGGGACCCATCCAGCCCAGCACTACTTGCTGACCCTCCTGACACCCCAGTAGTCTCTGCCAACTCTCTTGGGGAAATGGGAGTCTCCCCACAAGCTGTGGACGCAGGCAGCTGCCCTAACTGCAGTCCAGGATGGTCTTGCTTCTTTTGGGCCTGTCGCTCAAGTGCTGCTCTCCTGATCTGTCAGCCTGCTTGCCCAAACAGGCCCTGATAATGCATCTGGCATTTCTGCTGGGCAGCCAAGCCTCCCGGAGGAAACCCAACCTTTGGCTGAATTATTGATGCCCTGGAATGCAGCATGATTCTCCTCTTCCTGGAGAGCGAGAGTAGTGCTCGACAAAAGGCTGCCCTGCATTATTTATCACCTCATCGGCTTCTCGGTACAAAGATGGGACTGGTGCTCAGCTGGATCAGCTGCAGGGACACTTCCTGCAGGGCAGGATCAGTGGAGCCTCTCAGTGCCATGACCCGGCACGTGATCCCAGATGTGGATCCTGGAATTGGTTCAGGACAGAGCTGCTGATCCAACTATCAGGTTCTAGAAAACAAATGGGAGTAGTTCTGCCACAGCAGGGTGGAGGTTCTCCTCAGGCATTGCAACTGCCCACCCTGACTCTCACCCATCTCTTGGGTGGATATGCACCAAGCCTGTAGGTCAACTCGATAAAACCAAATAATGCTCCCATTTCTGGCAGTCTGGAGTATTTGGTGCTGCGAAAGACACTAATGCCTCTAGTCCAGGAGCAGCAAGAGGCAAAGTATTTTTAATCTCTCTTTGCAGTCAGGAGGCATGAGTGTATGATCAGCTTGTCTCCTCTCCTGCATCTCTTAGCCTCACAGTGAAATCTTATATCTGTTCAATGGGAAGGAAAAATAATTTCTGTGAGTGTTATGAAGACAAATTCCTAGGAACAGAAGTCCTTTCTGGGAGAGTTCTCCTTGAAATGCTTGAGTAGCCAGACTTCATAAACTGCTGTTGTTCTACCCTGCTTTTTACTGGGGACACTGACTTGGGCAGCCACTTAAGAGAGGATCAGCAGCTGAGATCTGTTGCCACCTGAAAGCTCAGATCTCCACTTGCACCAGAGATGAGAAAGAACCAGCTCATAGGATAAGGTGGTGTAACTTACCTCTAATCTCCTTTGCTGGCTGTGCTTTCATGAGAAGCTTCATCTGATCTCACTGCAAGCTGCTTCTGCAAGAGGTGGTCCTGCTCTCCCCTGCACCTGACGGCATGTTCCCAATAGTGTTGTGAAGTCAGGTGAGTTCTCTGATCCATCTAAAAAGTCACATTAGAGGTCAAGTTGAGTTGTATCAGTGACTCCCCATGCGCAGACAAGGGGGGAGAAGTGTGGTACAGGGGAGGAAAGGACCACCCCGTGCAGCAGCCTGCAATGAGATGGTACCAACTGCCCTGAGGCTCTGCCTGGAACTGGGCTCTGCCACATAGCTGACTTCTGCGAAGGGGTGAGGGACACACTAAGGGAATTATGTGTAAATGGAGTAACAGTCTCCCAGCGTGTGAGCTACAGCCTCCCATGCCCTTGCACCCACTTCATGACATTCATCCTTGCTTTCCAACTCTGAAAGAAAGTCTGAATAAGAGGTTGTTTTCTGTCCTGACCCTTTGGAGCCACAAGCTGCAACTGAGATTCCTGCCCATCCTCCCCTTCTGGCATAGCCTAGGCTTGCAGTGACCACGGCGTGTTTTCCTCAGCCCTCTTGCAAGACAAACAGCTTTAGTGCCTGACCTGAGATAAGAACTGAGTGACTGAGTCCTGGCCGCTCCCTGGCCAAGTGCTGTGCAAATGACCTGTGTTATTCCACTGCACTGGGCAAAGGGCTGGCTTACTGAAAAGAGCCACAAAGGATGGTGATGCTTGTAGGTGCCACTTGTGAATATAGCAAAGGACCCCAGAGCTGGAGTGATTCAAGAGGCTGGCAGTAGTGCTGTGGAGATGCTGGAGGGCTTCAGCAGTGATCTGACTCTGCAGCAATGCTGTAAAAAGCTGACTACATTCAGCTGATCCGAAACTGGGTTTAGGCTTGAAGCTCCAGGGCAGTTGCTAGTGCAGGAGAGTCTAAGCTGCAAGGAAGAAGAGCTGGAATTGAAAGTGAGATGAGATCTCAGAAAGCTGCATGGGAAAGGGGGGCGAGGGAGACCGTTATGCTTGCATCAAAGATTCTTGGCTTGTTTAAGAAAGCTCTTAAACAGATGACTCAAGAATTGGTGCCAAATACCTGGGAAGCCCCAGTTTGCTGCATGGCAGTGACTCAGCCCAGCCTGGCAGAGTCTGAAAACAACCCTGGGCTTCCAACAGTGACGGAGGAAAAGAGCCTCAGCCGGTCACGCATGTCTGATAGTCGTGTGTATCCCCCAAAGACAATCATAGGCATTAGGTACAAAGCGATACAAACACCCTCTCACCTTGAGTCTGCTTTTAGCCATGTCCAGCAATAGCCACGGGGCCATGGCAAGACTGAGCTGAACATAAGTGCCAGTAACCAGGGGCTACTGGTGCTGGGGAAGAGACTAGTGAAGCATCCCCTGGTCATGCATGGCTGCAAGTCCTGTGTCCCCACTGGGCTGCAGGAGGGGGGACTGTGACTGTCCTCGCAGTTGAGAATCTGTCACCACTGACATCCAGCAAAGCAGATCACTGGCTCTAGCTTGAATCTTGCCCAAACAGGTCACTGTGTAAACACACCTCCAGGGCTTGTATCTCGGACATCTAGTAACATTTGCGCAGGGCTGGTAACAGGACTCCTTTAGGCTGTTTGCCTGCATCCCGTGCTGTTTCTGGGCTTGCTCCTTATCTCACTTTGTTCCCAGCATTGTACTGGATGTGCATGCAGCTGGGGCTGTTGGGCAGCCACAGGAACAGAGAGTGCCACAAAGCCTTTCAGGAGGGGCAGCGGGCACCAGACCAAAACCCCATGGAGAAGGCATCTTGGCCCATCTAGAGCTGAGCTGTGGGACAGGGGAGGGGAGAGGAAAAGGTACAAGGGGCAGATTGGACAGGAGCTGTGTTTAATCTATGAGTTTTAGCCAGGCTTTGATCTTTTGGCAGCTGACTGTACCAGGTATTGTGCAGTACCATGGTCTGATAACAACAGTGGCACCAGAGCTCAGCAACAAGGGCTAAAAGAACAATGTAACCTCTGTAGGATCCCAAGTGGCATAGCTGTCAAAAGGGGTCTTTTAGTATGATCCAGCAAGATGCTGGTTCTGTCAAGAGCAGGAAATTGTGCTTAAAAATACACTGAAGTTTGTCAACTTCACTGAGAGGAGCGAGTGGAAAATGGGGACTGCGTGAGAGGGAATGGGCTCTTCTCTCAGAAATCCCCCAAGGAAGCAATGGGGGGTGTCCAGGCCATCTGATGCTGCATGTCCAGACTGACAAATCTTGCTTGTCAGATGTCACTGCCCAGTGTGAAAACACTGAAGACTTGCACAGCCTGCTTTTCCCTGCTGCTAATTTTAAACTTAAAAGGAACCACAGAGGGAGGGCGAGTCCATTGCCAGTATGAATCTGAGTGCTGAGAGAAGTCAGACGTTGTCGTATTTCTCTCAATTCCTTCAATACCCTGCTTCAGGGCATGTCCTAGAGGAAGAGTCATTTGCTGGAAGCATTTTTATCTAAATCCTGAGTTTAAGCCTTCTTAAACCTCAGACGCTCAGTTGCCAGCTCCCTACTAGCAAGACAGGAGGTGAGCTGGGAGGCAGCGCTCGGACACTGTCAGGCTGATGGCTGTCAGAGGGCACTCACAAGCCCTGTAGAAAAACCGATGATGTAAACATGCTTGTCTAATAAGATGAGAAGAAAGTGTGACTTGTAAGGTGGTAGTGGCGTTCCTGATCCCGTTGGGTTTGCAGGACCTAGAATTGGTTAGGAGGAGAAGGGAGTTGGCGTCTTGCCTCACCTGAAGGATGTCTGTTGCTCTCCTGCATGAAGTACTGGAAGCCATGTGCACATTTAAATAGATTCATCACAACTAGAGTATTTTTGTACTAGACCTTATTAAAAGCTACTTATACCAGAACACCTCTTGGACCCGGCCTCTATTTTTAGCTCAAAGCTTGTTCTACTCTTGGGCAAATTTTTGCCCTCTTCCCCTGAAAGATGCCTGGGATCAAAGAATGACACCTTGAAGGCTTTTTAGCTCTACTAAGATGAATGCAGAAAACAGAATAAGCCTCAGTGTCTCTTAATAGCTCTATAGCACACTGTAATTTTGCTTCTAATGACTGCCTCCTTCCTGCAGTTTACTGAAGAAAAGTTGGGCCAGGCTGAGAAGACCGAACTAGATGCTCACTTTGAAAACCTTCTGGCCAGGGCAGACTCCACAAAGAACTGGACAGAGAAGATCTTGCGTCAGACTGAGGTTCTGCTACAGCCAAACCCTAGTAAGTCCAGGTTCCGCTAATGCTCGAAGGACAACTATCACTTGCAGCTCAGTGTTAAAAGACATGTCCTCTGGCAGAGATCCCTGTTCCATTGAGTTTGGGTTGGAAGAAACCTGTTTTTGCAGGACCTGTCCTTCCTTCCCTGCATACCTGAGAGATGACTGGCTGCTGCCCTGCACAGCCTGGCAGTGCATCTGAGGGCTGGGGAAGGAACACCTTCTCCCAGTGCTATCCAGTGCATGACTGAGGACTGCATGGGGTGGGCCACCCAAAACGCCAGTTTCAGGGGCTCTTCCTTCATCCTCCATCCTGTAACCGCTGGTGGCATCCTCATTCCAGGTGCCAGAGTAGAAGAATTCCTCTATGAGAAGCTTGACCGGAAGGTGCCTTCCCGGGTCACCAACGGGGAACTGCTGGCACAGTACATGACAGAAGCAGCTAATGACTTTGGGCCAGGGACACCTTATGGTAAGTCAGCCTGGCTAATTAAAAAGCCCTGGGAATCCATCCCTTCCTAAGAGACATTCCCCATTGTTGTTTTGGGTTAAGACTTCCACAGCATGCCTCTCAAAGGGGGCAGGTTGGCCTGTTCCCCCTGCAGCAACCTGCCTATTCGTGTGTCAAAGCTGATGCCAGAGAAGGGTCTTCTCTAGCACGGAAACAAACAGCCCACCTGGAGTAGGAAGTCAGTCTTACTCCACAGCAAAGCATCCTCCATGCTGGGGGGTGGAAAGGGGCAGGGGTCTCCCCATTCCTTGGAGTCTGGCAAAGCCAGAGAAGAAACAGAGACACACAGATCCAGGGTAGCTGGTGGAACAGGTTACAGGAGGCAGAAACTACTCTGTGCTATTTCTGTGGTTTTCTAAGCTAGCCTGAACGGGGAGTTGCAGTGAACAGCTTTAGCTTTGTCCAGTTTGAGCATATTTTTAGTCTAAGGTGGTATCTAGTTGCACATAGTTTCTCTAGGCTCTGAGCAGAAGAACCATCCTTTAACTGTGTCCTGCAAGTGGAGGGCGGAAATCTTTCTCCAGCAGAAAAGGCAAACAGACTTCAGAAGGTTGGTGCTTGGCTACAAGCCTCAACAGGGCCCCTCCTGACCACACAGTACATCTTTCTGCTCTTAAATCCTAACAGTTGCCCCTTCCTGGGGAATTCTGGGCTTCTTTAAGCAGCAGACCTGCACAGAAGCACAGCCTTAACTTCCAGCTGTCCTTGCCTCTGCCATGAGCTTTGTTACTGCTCTCCAAATCAATAGCTGTTCAATAGCGATTCCTGTTACAGGCAGAACAGCTGCAACTGCATCTACAGCCAGCACTGCCTAATCAACTCATTTTTTCTGCTCTGGTGCTTTTTAATTTGCTGCTCTGTTCCTGTGCCTCTTTTATGAGGCAAAGAAAGATCATTCTGCGCAAGCAAGTGGAGCAGTAAAAGGACATCAGTGGAGTAAGTGCCTCAGAAGATAGATAAGATCAAAGCTGCACTGGGAGCAGCTGAAAAGAGGCCTCAGGCTAAAAGCAGATTATAGTTAGGACTGAGACTGGTGCGGTACAGGCATGATCACCTTGTCCAGGTAGGGTACACTGTGTCTTTGGCCCCCAACACTGGAGCCTGGTAGCTTTGGGTGAGTTGGCTGAAGCCAACACAATGTTAATTGGTTTCTCCTGGAGTTGAAGGCTCCTGTTATTGCAGGGAAGACCTTGATAAAAGTTGGAGAGACTCAAAGGCGCTTAGGTGCAGCAGAACGGGACTTCATCCACTCTGCCTCCATCAACTTCCTGACCCCACTGCGCAACTTCCTGGAAGGGGATTGGCGAACCATATCTGTAAGTACGGTAGCAGGGAAGGGGAAGCTTCATGTCACCAGGGACAAGGAGAGCAGGGGGAGACGGAGACAGTGCTGGAAGAACTCATTTTCCTTCCCTATTGAGAAGGGAGGACTCTGTACCTCCCCCTCGAAGAATACAAGGATAGGGAAACACCAATGCTAGATCTGCTCAGGCTCCCCTGCAGCAGGGAAGGATTGTCAGTTGATGTGCCTGAAGAAGGTAACTCCTTTCCTGACTCCTGCAGCTTAGTGGGCACCACCTCACCATGGGCTGCCCTGTTTGCACAAGGTTAGCCTGTGTCCCTGGCAGCCAGGCCCAAAACTCTCGCTAATGAGATGAACATAGCAACTGCTTCTTTCTCACTAGCACTTTTTGCTGAGGAAATAAATTTGATTCCTAGATGATACCTTGTCCCTTCCCCACCCCCCCCACCCCCCCAGCAGTTCCTAAGCAGTCTGCTCTTATCCCATTTTCTGTCCCTTCCAGAAAGAGCGGAGGATCCTGCAGAACCGCCGCCTGGATCTGGATGCCTGCAAAGCCAGGTTGAAGAAAGCCAAAGCTGCCGAGGCAAAAGCAGCGGTAACTTTTTTCCCTCATTCCCCTCACTGTCCTTCTGGCCCCAGGGCTTGGCTCACATGAGCAATGCCACATGTTCTCTGGACAAAAAATTAGGCTGCCCTACTATGTCTTGGCTCTGGCAGGCATGGGTGGGGGTGTTCCGTGTCTGGTATGCAAGGGAAGTGGGAACAGGAGCCATGCGCCTGTTCCTCAGATGTCCTCTCATGGGGAAGTTGTTGAAACAAATAGTTCTTAGTTTCCAAAGTCTGGAAACTTCTACTTGACCCAGGCTCCTGTCTCCTGATTGATAGTAGTTGCTGGATGATTTGTGCTAGTAACTAATAGGCTGCATCTTCTGAGGACTTGCTAAGTTTCTCTGGGGATCTCAAAGCAAGCCAAGAGAGAGCTGAGCTGGGAGGTGCGCAAGGGAAAAGCATGCTGGGGGTCTGCAGCAGTCCCAGGCTTTCAGACTAGTTAGGATTAGGCCAACTCAGTTTTCCCCAGGCAGGAGTGCCAGGGGAGCCTGTAAGGGGTGACCGGGGTCAAACTGTCTACCAAGAGGTCCTTCCATCAGCCTCTCTATTCACTTAATTCATGGTGCTGTCTAGTTACAGGCTAGTCTTGCCCTCTGGCCTTGGGGAAATCCTGGCAAGTAAACTAGCAAAGCTCCCAGGTCAGAGCAGTGCAGAAGGGACTGGCAAATCAGCCAGTGTCCCTGTCTACAGGCCTCAGCGATGGGGACAAGCGCTTCAAAGTGCTTGTCTGAGGCTGACAAGACATGTCAGCTCAGGGTGCTCCCTGGGCCTGAGGTGTCTCCTGGAGCTGGGCTCTTCCTGGGCAGTGTGGCAGGAGGCAGAGAGGACATCGCTGGGCACTGATGGGTTCTGTGGAGGGCCTTGTTGAAGCAGATGGCAAGTCCTTGTGCCAACAGCCAGAGCACTACAGGATGGCAAAATTCTGCTTCTAGCTTGGGGCCAGGAACTCAACTAGCAAACATGCAATCAGAATAGGCAGGATTCCTTGTCAGGGATACCAGCCTAGAAGCCCTGCCATGAGCCCATTTTTTTAGCCATCTGCTCAGCTGGGCCTCTGGCCTTGCAGCTCCCTGGGTGGCCAGTTCCCAGGTGTTTTCCCTTTTCTCCAGCTCTAACTGCATGCATGCCATATGGGGAAGCTGTGCTAAGCTCAGCAGCCTCCACCAGCAGGTCTAACAGAGTGTTCAGGCCTATGTGGGAAAGCCATGAACAAAACTGATAGCTGCCCTTTTAAAAAAAAAAAACCTTCTCTCATCAATCAGGTCACCCAGATCCACTGAAAGTAACTTCAGGGATCCCTGATTCCTCTTCTGAAGGGGATGGTGCCCCCAGTCTCAGTGGGAAGTGGTGGCCATTGCTTTAAGCTCAAATCAGAGCAGGAATTCAGATACCTCCTGCGCTTCCTCCCTCTCTACCTTGCTGCCTACATGAAGTGATCCCAAGGCCTCTCACCTGCACACAGACCCTCGGGTGAGGGACTTCCCTGGGGCAAGAAAAGAAAAGCATGGTTTCCCACTGAACATCCCAGGCAGGATGCAGAGCTGGTCCCAGCTTTCCAGGGTGTTCACCCCAAGGCACATTTCAGCCCCTCTCCCTCTTTGAAACAGAGATCACACAACAGGAGAGCAACTGTATCCAGTGTGGGCACCCATCTCACCCAGCTTAGCTTAAAGGTGGGGTCCCTGGCCTCAGGGTGCCTCGTGGACTAATAGAGGACCAGGCACAGGTGGAAGTGCCCAGCACAGGGAGGGGGGGAAGAACTGCTGCCTCTGCTCTAGGTGTGTGAGCTCATCATTAGACACAACATTCCCTGTAACATGCCTGGAGTCCTGTGTCACACCTCTCTATCCCAACTGGCCTAAAGTATCACACCTCTCCCAGCTCACTACTCTCTTGCTGCTCTTCCCCTCCATAGTGCCAGCTTGTGTTCCCACAGCTTCTGTCTCGTGACCGACCCTCCAAGTGCGCTGCTGCCCAGACCTGTGAGCTGCTGTTCGAGTGTCTGGGCTTGTGCATTTCCCTCCGACTTCGTGCTTTGTCCTTCCTGTTGATGCTGTTTTGTTTACTAACCTTTTTGTTTTGTTTCTTTGTAATTTGCTCAGTGTGAGGGAGATGTGAGTATTGACTGTGCTAACAGTGCTGTGATTTTTTTTTTCTTCAACACCTCTCATTGTCTCTTTCCCATTTTAAATGAAAGTTCATTACCTCCCTTGTCCCATTGGGACTGGCCCTGGAGCATGTACTGAGTGTGGTCGGGGCTGTGGCTGCCTGGGGAAGGTGCCCCAGAAAGATGGGAGCGTCTGTCAGCTGCCTGCAGCCCCTCTGGAGCATGCACTCAGTTCCATCAACGCTGCTTGCAAGCAGTGCTCAAGAGAGGCCTCCTGTAAAGACCCACTCAGGGTCCTCTGGCTGCAGGCAGGAGGAGGTCAGTTTGGGTCGCAAGTCCCTCTCCTGGAAGGGAGACAGTCCAGAGACAATGACAGGCAGGTTGATCTGATTGTGGTGCTGTTCTGTCCCCCAGGCTCCAGGGCTCTGCCCATTTTCCCCGTTACAGGAGCAGAAGGGGGAGGGAGGTGGGTCCATTTTGACCACTGCTTGCAAATACAACTTGTCCATGCGTAGGAGTGCAAGAGGAGCTTGCCTCCTTCATCCCATATGCTATGACTAGTTTTGGGACTCTTTGGAGACCAGGGAATGGGAGGAGAGGTTTCTTCAGTTGCTCTTGATTTAAAAAAAAAAAAAAAAACCACCCAACAAAACAAAAGCATAAGAAGCTATTTCTGTGAAACATCTCCTCTCTCCACAGGGAAGAGTCAGGCCTAGTTGTTGTGCTGGCCTCAAATCTCACTGGTGCATTTTATTCCCTATATTCAGGTTTGACTTGTAATAGGAATCACTCCTCCTTATTCCTTCCTCCAGCCATCCCCAAAACTCCTAAATGGTTTAAAAAAAAAAAAATCTCTTCTTGTTGGGACTGCCTGACTGCTGTTCCACACACTGGCCACTCATTCCAGCAGCCTGCTCAGGGCCCAGCAAATCGGGTCAGCGTGTATAAGTAGATCTGGGTGAGCTGCAAGGAGATTAACCTGGGAGAAGAAGTGTGGGGCCCAAGAGGATTAACAACGTAGCTGGGTTACAGCTGCCTTGTGTGCCAGCCTTGCAAACCAACCCACTGCACAGCAAAGGCTGGCCAGGAGGATGTCCTGATCCATTGCATCAGTGTAATGGTCCTGATATAAGCTAGCTGGTTGACTTATCTCTTTGGGTGATGCTACAGCCAAAGGCCATCCCAGGAGGAGGCCTAGTCTTAGCTTAGCTGAACAGAGAGACCATGTTATGTGATAGTGAGCCCACATCCTTGTGGGGATGGACTGGATCCCTTGCACTTTCCATGAGTAAAACCTCCAGAGTGCTTAAGTCTTCCTGCCCCAGGGCAGAGGTTTAGCTATGGAGAAGGTGGCTTGGAGGTTTTCAGACCTCTGAGAGGAAAACTCATACACTACCTTTGGCAACAGCAAGGCTTTGGACTAGATCTGCTTTGGCTAAGCCATGCCCCTTACTGAAAATAGCAGATCTGAGTGTTAGGAGGAAACATGCCCAGAGGCTTGGTGAGGGTAAGAACAAGTAAAAGTGTTTCTTTAAAAGACACTGTGGAAAGGATGCTCTGATGCTAGTAAAGATGCCCACTTTAAGGACAAGGCCCTGTACAGGGACGCTTCTAGGACTGTAGGCAGAAGCAAGGGGAAACAAGGTCCTGCCTGCTGGACTGAGCCAACATGACATGAGCAACCTGCTGGCTGCAAGGGAATGGGAAATGCATTTGAGATTGTGCTGTCTCATCTCCACTCCAACTGGCCGCTGTATGAGCGGGTAGCTCTAAGTACAGGCAGAGTTTCTAACAGTAGAAACATCTGCTATTCAAGTGCTGGCTATGACTGCATGAGCCAGTCCACCTCCTCTTGCACAAGCCTGGCTTCCACCTGGGGAGAGCTTCCACACACCACTGCCCAGACTGCTGGGAGACCTCCCTCTTGACATCCCATAAGAATCTGAACTAAGCTCCCAGCACAGACAGGAAAAAAACACTAGTCCCTTCTTCCATCCATTGCCCGACTATCGACTCTTCTGCGTGACTTGTACATGAAACTCTATTCCCCCCACTAGGCTGTGCCTGACTTTCAGGAGACTAGACCTCGTAATTACGTTCTCTCCGCCAGCGCATCAGCGGTAAGATTGCCTCCTCCTAGATGTTGCTTCTCCAACCTCTTCCTGCCCCTCTCTTCACCTGACTTAAACTCAGCCCTACTGCTCTGCTGTTTTCAACATTTTAATGTGACATGGGCTGCCTAGCATTCCTCTGACTCAACCTTAAGGATCCAGCTCACCCCTGTGAGGGTGCATGGTCAGGGTCTGGCACTTTTGCTGCTTGATTTGCTTTCCAGTTTCTCTGCCAATCTATTTCTACATTTTTAGTGAGAATCTTCTGACAGTGTTTTTATTGCTAGAGGAGCAATTGAAAAAGAACCTCAAAGGCTAGCCCTTCTGGATGGATCCAGCTGTACACTGGCAATGTCACAAGTGTAACTGCCTGATCAGTACTGCAGTGTTGGTGCTCAGAGGTTTTGTAGCTGGTCAAGAGAAGCAAAGGTGGAAGAATCTTTCTGCCACCCAGCGTGTCAGTAATGCAATAGGCTGACAGTGCAGGCTTGTCTATTCTGCAAATAGAGGTCAATTTTTTTTCCTTTCATCTTGGGGCCTGTCTGTTGATGGCCATTACACAGCCAGATGCGCTGGGGGTGGGTGAATAAGCTTGTTGCATCTCTACTGTGTTGCACTGAGTGGTTGTGGTCAAGCAATTGACTTTCTGTGCTGTGTTCATGGCTCCCCATTGCACAATGTCACATTTCTCGTTAAAATGTTGAAAACTGATCATCTTGCTTCCTAAATAGCATTCAGAACAACACTGATGCCTGTTAATAGACTAAA